GTTCTTAATGATATCTGAAAATCTTTCATATATTGCCATCTCATCTGGTAGAATAGAATATCTTATTCGTGATAAAAGTGATGGATGTATCCATATATCATCACCTTCTAACATCTCATCAAATATTTCTACTAGCTCTTCTAATCCAGATACTAACATACTTTCTTTGCTAAATTCGGAATCTAAAGTTTTTAAATATGCTATATCTAAATACCACATTATTTCCTTTACCCATTCTTCTATGTTGAGTTCAAACTGACCTATATACGTCTTATTGATAATCTGTATTGTGACATTTTGTAAACCTTTTATATATGAATCTTTTATTCAATTACATTTTTTCTCGGTATAAGGGTAATTGCTTGCCTTGCTATTCCGCTCTATTGACTTCATGGCTGGTTTCCTAGATGGATTAATATTTCCTTACCTTTTTTGACTCTGTTGGCTTTGAAATCCCATTTCTTGTTCGGTTAATTTTTTCAGATTGTGTGGTGGTAATAGAGTTGCATGGTGGTAATAAAACTATATGATGGTAACTAGATTATATGAAAAGTGGTAGGTGGATTATATGGTGGTAATTAAAATTATATGATGGTGGTAACTAGATTATATGAAAGTGGTAGTTAAATTATAGTGAAAGTGGTAAGTGGATTATATGATAGTAATTAAGTTATATGATGGTGGTAATTAGATTATATAAAGTGGTAGTATTTTAGATTATATGATGGCGCTGAGCCAGAATTGGGGTTTTCATACTACTGTTTTATGTTCTACTAAAGAACAAACAATAGCACTTTCTAAATTGACACATATTGAAATTGATATGGCATTTAAAAGAATTCATGGTATCACAAATGAATGGGAAGTAACAGCATATTTACCTCGAGTACAGAAAAGTAAGTATAATTACTGAATTTTGGTCATTTATTTAATAATAAAACCTTTTATTTAGTTTTTTATTGTTAATTATTATATGAAGCTTTGACTTTTGCTCGAATATTTACAAATATTGAAACGGCTGAAGCATACCAAAATTTATTAGAAGATTTGTTTGGATGCATAGAAAGAGATATAGGCAAAACTTTTAATTTTCATCACATTCATGGCGAAGGATTAGGCTGCATTATTGCAGACCAACATAAAGGACAAGCTCTAGGTGAAATTAAAATATTATATATTTCAAATTATTTAAAAATTTTATTTTAAATTAACTTTTTTAATAGGATTGGGTCAATATTTACTAAATTCAAAATATCCACACTTAACTCTTATCGAACATTTACAACATATCTACAAGCTCTGTCAGGTGCATTACAAACGGTAAATAAATATATTTATCTTATTTATAATTAAAACTATATAATTAGTACGATTATTAACGATAATATTTTATAGGAACATTGACAAAAATAAAGCATTGTCAAGTGAAATTCGTAGCGCGATGTATATAGTTTCTAATTTAAATACTCAAAATGAAGTTTTAAAAATATTGCATAAAATTCGTGATTGTGGTGAACCAGGAACAACAGGTAATTAAATTATAATTATTGCAATTTAATTTGTTAATTTATATAGATATTAAAAAAAATATTCAATTTTTTATAGCATGGGTTAAAGATAAACTTACTCCGTGGGTTTTGTCAGGAATATCAAGTGTATTTAGCAAAATGGATCATATTATCTGGAGTCAAACACCAAATAATACCAATGCTGGAGAAAGTGCCCATGCCAATGTAAATCGCGATGGATGCAATCTTTCCCTTCTTGCAAGGATAGTTAGGTAACTATTTTTATATTCTACATAAAAAAATATAATTTACTTATCTATTTTTTGTTTTAAGAGGACGTGATTTTGATAAAAGGCAGTGGGAAAGCACTGACGTTTATGAAAAATATAATGTTCCAGACACTTATCGAAATAAGTCAGAACTTGCACGTAAGGTTACTTGCCAAAACCTAGGGGTTTAGGCAAGATGGCGTTTTGCCGAAAAGCAAAATTCTGCCGAAACTATATTAAAGTTATATTAAAAAAACTGGCAAAACTTTGGAGAAAGGCGAAACTGCCGAAACTTATTATAAATGCCGAAACTGCCGAAACTCTGCCGAAACTATAATAAATCTATAGTAAAATTTTGACGAAACTAATCATAGGATTTTGAAGAGGTTTAGACAAGCAACCTTACACGTGACTTCAATAACTGTACTGTATGGTAAATTTGGATAAAATTTTGTACAGTACAGTACAGCTAGGGATGGAAGTTAATTAACTATGGTTAATTAACCACGGTTAATTAGTGCTCCAAAACGAGTCAAGTTGACTCATGAGTTGGTCAAGTCGAGTTGAGTTGAGTTGAGTTGAAAATTATAATCAAATCGAATCGATTCGAGTCGAGTTAATAATTTAATAAAATAGAGTCGAGTCGAGTTAAGCCGAATTAAACATAATTCTGGCCAAATTTATGGAATTTCCTTTTTTGGAAATTATGTTACACAAAATCCGGGACGAAAATTTTTTGAAAATTACAAAAATGGAATTTTGTGGAATGGCTATCGCCAAAAAAAGGAAATGATCAGCATAGCTGAATAAAATCACGTGATTTAATTCGACTCGACTCGATTCGGTTTGACGGGCCAACTTGACTCGAATCGAGTCGAGTTTATATTTTTATAATTTTAACTCGACTCGACTCGACTTGTTCGGAGCTCTACGGTTAATTAACGGTTAATTTAGTTAATTATAATTAGCTAAAGTTGGTTAATTAACAATTAATTTTGTTAATTATAAATTGACCAATTAAAGAAGCAGATTTTAATCATGTGATCAAAATTCCAATTTATTTGATTATCATCTTTTTTTCCATCTTTTTTTTTAATTTAATAATGACCAAAAAAAAGGTCCTGTTTGGAAACACTGGACAGTTATTACATAAAACCAAGTGGAAAATAGCAAAAGTAATTCACATCCTTCTGTGCAATGTAATTACTGTACCAAAATTTTTGACCGAGCTGTTTTTTCATGAATGCAAGTACACCTTGATAATGAATGTTCCGGAGCACCTGATAATGCAAAATCTGCTAAACAAAATGTAGGTTCACAAGATTCTATACTCAAAACTACACAATCCCTCCCAAATAATATTGTACTAAATTCCATTCCCACAGATACACTTACAAATAGACCTGTAAAACGAATTAAAACACAAAAAATTGAAAATTTTATTGATTGTATGAGCGAAGAAGAACAGGAAAATCTTGAAATCCAACTAGCACAAGCATTATATTTAGCTGGAGTTCCATTTTCCTTTGTTGATAATCCACTTGTTATTCAATTTTTTCAGTGCCTTCGGCCATCTTTCAAATTGCCAAATAGAAAAAGACTAGCTGATGAGTTGTTGGATGATGTTTATGATGAAGTGAAAATGCATACGGATAAACAAATTTCCAAAGCAAAATCACTTTGTATGGTTTCTGATGGTTGGTCTAACATTAATCGAGTATCGGTACAAAATTTTATTGTTTATACTCCTAAACTGATTTTTTTTGATACCACATTTTCAGGTGAAGAATCTCATACAGGAGAGTGGATTGCAAACCAAATAACTCAACAAATGGAAATTATTGGCGCTCAAAAATTTTCCTCAGTCATTACAGATACAGCTAGTGTAATGAAAGCAGCATGGAAACGGATTGAAGAAAAATATTCTCATATCGTTTGTCTTGGATGTAACTCTCACATTATTAACCTATTAATTGGAGATATTTTAAAAATTGATGAAATTAAAGATATAGTTAATAATGCTAAGATTATAGTGAATTATTTTAAATCTCATATACAAGCAGCGGCAAAACTAAAACGTATTCAGATCGAAAATTATAATAAGGAGATTGCATTAGTTTTGCCAATACTTACACGATGGGGTACGCATCTTAGCTGCTTTCAGTCACTTCTAAAATCAAAAATTGCTCTTGAACAAGTGTTAATGGATTCCGAAATTTGCCAAAAAATAAATAGGGAAGTAAGAAATAATGTATTGTCAGAGGAATTTTGGGAAATGGCGAATTTAATAACAAAATTTTTAGAGCCAATAGTTGTGGCATTAAAGTTGTTTGAATCTGATTTATCTACTCCTTCAACTGTCTATTCAAATTTCAAAAAATTAATGAATAAAGTTAGCGAAATTTCATGTAATTTTTCTGATAATATTCAACAGCTTATTCAGAAATGATGGGAGTATTCATACCATCCTGTTATGATGGTTGCTTATATATTAGATCCACGTTTTTTAGAAGAAAGTAAAGATGCGGATATAGAAGCAATTGGGTATACTGAGTTTACAGAATTCACAAATAAAAGATTTGGTCAGGAAGAATCCATAAAATTGTTTGCAGAATTAGTAACATTTCGTCAAAAAAATTCACCTTATGATAATGAAACAATTTGGTTATCATCATCCGTTCTTAATTCATTCATATGGTGGCAAACTTCAAAAAGTGAGCTTCAGCAGTTAGCCATTAAAATTCTTTCAATTCTGACGTCATTTGCAGCTGCAGAAAGAAAATTTTCAACTTTTGGATTTATTCATAATAAAATTCGTAATCGTTTACAAAATGATCGTGTAAAAAAATTAGTTTTTATTTATGGGAATCTTTGGATACACAAAGGGGTTTGAAATGTAAAAAAAATAAATTTATACATGATCATCAAACACTTGATGATAACGATAATGTATAGTGGTAATAATAATGACAATAATTCACACTGGTAAAAAAATGATTTATCCTACACATATCTTACACATATTGGGTACTCAAAATGTAGAAAATCATACACAAATAATACACATATCATACACATATCGGGTACTAATATATATATCATACATATATCAGGTACCTGATAGGTATACTATATATATAAGTACCCGATATGTATATGATATGTGTATTATTTATGTATGATTTTCTACATTTTGAGTACCCGATATATGTAAGATATGTGTAGGATATGTGTAGGATAGACCATTTTTTTACCAGTGTCAGATGATGATAGATTAATTGGATTGGAATTAAATATTACAGATTTAATAGCTGAAGAGTGAAATATTTAGTTTTTGATAATAAAATAAAATTTAAACATTACAATATAATTTATAAATGAAAATCTTATACAATAAAATAAATAATTTAGGCCGTTAATATTAAGTTTGGCCCGAATTAACAATAATTCAGTAACTTTGGCTAAAATTATAAAATTTTAATTAACTGTTAATTAACTGTTAATTTATGGTTATTTAACTGGTTAAATAACCAAATTATAATTAACCGTTAATTTTCCATCCCTAAGTACAGCGCTTATTATAGTACTGTACTGTACTATATGAACTTTAGTTAAAAACTTACTGTACAGTACAGTTTAGCTGACTGTACAGTACAGTTTATAGATCTACCTGAAAAATTTTTATATATTGATTAAGCAAACTCAAAACCTACCTTTATATATATTGTTTAGGGTCCTGATGCAAGTGACTCACCTGTTTGATTCTGACTGCCATCTAATTACAAGAAGTATCCAATCCGTAGTGAAACACAAAGCTAATTTTCATCGTTCTCTTCCCAATTCTATTTTATTTTTATTTCAAGCCTTGGGCTTGATTAATTTGTTCGCTCATCAACGACAATGTCATATTACTAATTTATTTTTAATGGCTAACTCTTCTTTTTTGTTTATGCAATCTTTATTTATTTATAGATTGCGTTTAATTCAATATACTTTTTAATTCCATTTTCTCTTCTTTTAAATAAGGACTGGTCTATATGGTTTTCCCTTTTTTATTTTAAGAAAGATTATATTGCATGCACTATCGCTCTCTTGAATTCTACTCCCTTCCGCTTGCTTCAAACTCAACTTTTGAAGCTCCCAAATTTATCTGTGCTTGATGGACGCATTCGTTTATTTGAATGCATGACCCCTAAAGCTTTTAAGGCTCACTATCCCATCCTGCGTAAACGGCAGCTGTTTTATTTATCTCAGCTTGTAACTCCACAAGGCACCCATCTAATCTCTTGGAAGGCTTATTATGATAACTTGGTCAGACAATGAGATCCTGGCCACATCCCCTATTGGTATAAAGATATCCAACGACAAACTACTATTCCTGATTCTAATAATCGCTTAGTCAATGAATATACCTTACCTTTATCTGCGAATGATTCCTTATATTTTAAGCTTGAATCTTGTCTTTCTTCTCCTCCTACTACTATAAACTAAATTGTCACATTAGGCAAATTCGGTTCTCCCATCTTCAGTAAACAACTTTTGGTCCAAGCAGGATGGGGTACTTCTCTATTGTATTTTAGATTTCTCCTGATTGTGAATCTTTGCCTAGCGATATCATTAAGCTTACTCCCTACCCTGGTTGTGCTGCTCATACTCCTTTACTTCCTTCTAAAAGGCAGAATGTTGATCTGACTCTTTATACATTCAAGGTCTTTTTATAACATTCGCTTATTCTACCTATCACTATTAATGAACGGATTAGATGTAATATCTCTAAAGTGACTTCCCTTTTTACTTAGGCTCACAGGTAAAACGCTGACCAATCGGGTACCTACCCGATTATACTTGCCACTTATTTAAAATCCCATCCCATCCCCTCCCCTCTCCTCCCCTCCCATCCCATATCCCATCCCATCCCAAATCCCAATCTTAAATCCCATCCCATTCCAAATCCCAAATCCCATTCCAAATCCCAAATACTTATATAACATTTCTCCTATTGGATAA